ATATAACCATTGTACATATAAAAAACATTGAACACGTTTTGAACCCGGTTTCAATAAAATGTGATTCGGTCTCGGTTTTTAAAAAATCCGGGTTCGACTCGGTTAATCGGTTCCAACATGCTTGATGTAAGCTAGTTCTTTTTAAAATGATATACGTCACCAAGAGAAGAGAAGAGAAGAGAAGAGAAGAGGAGAAGAGAAGAGAAGAGAAGAGAAGAGAAGAGAAGAAGAAGAGAAGAAGAAGAAGAAGAGAAGAGAGAGAGAGAAGAGAAGAGAAGAGGAGAAGAGAAGAGAAGAGAAGAGAAGAGAAGAGAGAGAAGAAGAGAAGAAGAAGAAGAAGAGAAGAGAAGAGAAGAGAAGAGAAGAGAAGAGAAGAGAAGAAGAAGAGAAGAGAAGAGAAGAGAAGAGAAGAGAAGAGAGAGAGAGAAGAGAAGAGAAGAGAAGAGAAGAGAAGAGAAGAGAAGAGAAGAGAGAGAGAGAAGATAACGAAATAAAAAATTAGATTAAAAAACATGAATATATAATTACACACGAGGAGGAGAGGATATAGAATTAATTACCCTTTCAAAATCGTCTGTTAAATCGATATTTTATTAATCCCTATTTTATTTTAAAAGTAATTTTTATTTATATAAAAAAAAACAAATTATCAAAATTTCGAAATCAAATAAATAAAATGAAATATTTTAAAATATTCCTAATTTTTTTATAAAATACTTAACTATTTCCTGTAAATAAGTGCTTACTTCCTGTTCTGTTTTTATTTTATTTTTTTAAAATTTGAAATTAAATTATTTTTTAAATCTTCAATTCTAATTCCGGGTTTTGATTCAAAACGAATACCCGGTTTTTCCGTTTCTTTCACGGTTAGTCTTGCATTGCTTTCCAGACCTCATTTATATTATAGTGTCGCGTAGTAGGGGTGAAATTATAAATGTAAATATATGTTAAAATTAACGTGTTTCTTTCCCGGCAATGTGTTATAATATTTTAAGCGCCTTTTTACCGGAAATATATACCATCATGTTTGGAATACCTATCTTATGAATTGTACACAATTTTGCTGTTAACCTTTGAGTCACTCATAATTTATATTTTAAAAAAAATATATGGAAAATCTAATATAAATTATATTACATTTCAAAGTTCATAAAAAATTTAAAAAAATTTATAATAGCAAAAAACTCAAAAAAAATTGAAGGTTTCGAAAACACGGTTATAACCGTTAAATTTTTAAACAATAAAATGACATATTTACCCACTAGGTTTTTTTTATATTAACCCGGTTTTATTTTGCCGACACCAGCTGTTATACTTTTTTATATAAGTAACGAAATTCGTAAGTTTACTGGGTAAGATGATAATACTATTTATGTAACTTCGATATATCAGATATCACTTTTCTACCCCTGAATCGGTATCATTTACACTCCCAAGGATTAAATTTCCTGTTTATAAACAGATTTATATTATTTAAATTTATAGTATCATCTTTCTTTCTTTTCTTTCCTTTTCTTTTTTAAAATCGAATTGAAATTTATAAATTTGGAATTTTATATTTAGGGGAAATAATGAAATATTTAATATTAAATTATTGATAATCACATGTATAATAAATATGCCTTTTTAATTAAATATCGATACATTTTTAAATTGCTTTACCAAAAAATAAAAAAAAATCCCCTTAAAAACTCTTATTTAATATCAAATAATTTATTAAGTAATGTTGTTTAAGACTAAATTTAGTCGACTAAAACAAATAATTTAGTCGACTAAAACGACTAGTCGCTCGAGTTTTAGGATTAATAGACTAAAGACTTTTAGTCGTGGTCGGAGGAAAGGATTCGAACAAATTGACAAAATTAATTTATAGTATTATATAGAATATAGCCAGCACCCTTGCATTCCTTTAATCCCTAAATCGATAAATTTATTATATTTTCCAAATCGATATTAAATTTTAATCTTCCCAATCAATAACTCCCCAGCTTAGCCTACTAGTCAGGTTTTACTTTTTTTTTTTTAATGGAATCCCCTTTCCACTTTAGCAAGTATGATAATTAATCAATACATATTTTAAACAATTTTTTATAGAAGTTATAATTTGAAGTAATAAAAAAATTACACATTTTTTTGTTTGTATTGCGTGCTAATTAATACAAAAAATTTAATAATTTAACTTAGTATAATAATATAATGTTTTTTTAAAATAAAAATATTATTTTTATGTTTTATGATTAATAATTGAGTTATCATAATTTTAAATATTTTTTTTTAATTAATTGGGGGGAATACAAATAATTTATTAAATTATTTGCGAAAAATTAATTTTTAAATCCCTCTCCTTTCCTCTTCATTTCGTAATTTATCGATTATTATTAATTTTGAAGCGTTTATCTATTTATTATGGAAAAAAAATAAATATAATTTAAGCTCGGAAATTGAAGTGGGTTGGGTCCAATGACATATAATGATACCTAGACTGTCGATGCATTCATTTAAAAGTGTACATCAATGAAAAACAGCTGGGGACGCCATTTTGAATGCCAATATTCATTATTAAAAATTTTTAAACGAGAGGCCATGTTATTCCTATGTCTTACGCAAACTTCATTAAAGAGTTGCCTGATCATCGAGATAATAAGGAAGCAAGTTATCTATTTAATAGTAGTTTTTTTAACATGAGAATATATGAGTTACCAAAATGGCGGGTCCAGCTGATTTGCATGCGTCGTCAGTCTAGGTATTATTGTATGTCATTGGTTGGGGGCCACTTGAAGGAAACTTTATTTTTTTGACAAAAAATAAAAATAAATAAATGTAATGATGGATTTGGATTTTCGATTTTTGTAAGGGAAGGAAATGAAAATTTGTAAATAATTTTCAATAAATATCTATCAAATCTAAAAATATTAATTTTTAATGTACTAAACTTTAATTTAATATTTTATTCAAATTTTTCTTATAAAAATACCTAAATTTTTTTTAAATTTTTTTAAACTTCATTTACTTAATTATATTTTATATTTAGGCCCTCATTTCTTTAAACTACTACCTATTGTTGAACCAACCAACCCAGATTTGGTGTTGTTAAACGGCTCCTTTTGAGCCGGTTTTTGAAAACGGTTAACTCAATATTTCATCTAGAATGATACTACGCAAGCCTAAAGATTTAGATTGTAGAAGGAGCAAAAGGTTTGGAAATCTAATAGCGAAATCTAGAGGCTTAGGCAATATTTTTCTGGCTAAAATATTGAGTTAGCCGTTTAACAACATGACCCAGAGTACAGCAAGGTTGGGAAAATACATTAACTATCCTAAATAGCCTATACTTTGAGGAATTGATAAGAAGTTTTAATTTATCCAGATTAGTTTAATATTATTTTCAGTTTAAACCAAAAGTGTTCCAACCAACCCCGGTCTCTCTACCTATTTCTTCAGGTGAAAAAATGATTTAACCATACCCTGACCCCCAATACGAATCATTTTATTTTACAAATAAATAAAAATTAAAGGCACAGGTATAAAAAAAAACAAAAATTTCAAAGAGAGATCTGAATGGAAATTCTTGTTAAGATGATTTGAGATTTTTTTTTGAAAATTTAAGATCATTTTAAATTCCCCCCCCCCCCAATTAAAATTTTTATTTATTAAATAATATAGTTTAAACGCTAGTGTTTATCTGATCAAAATTTTTAAAGTCAATTGTTTAAAAATAAAATAAAAATTATTACAAAAAAAAAAAATCTTTATCTTTATAAAATATATTATTTTTTTTTTATATAATTTAATTTTTATTTTAATGTATGGGGGAAAAAAAATAAATAAAAAGAATTTTTTTAATAATATTTAGTATTTTCTTTTTAAGTAATGAGTAATGACATTTAATGAAAGCGTCGTTGAATGTAAATCAGCTGGACCCGCCATTTTGGTAACCCGTATAGTAAGGATACGGATACGGACTAGATCATGCGTCAGGCATAGGAATAAATTGGCCTCTTTTTTAAAATGTTTAATTAATTATATGAGTAATCAAAATGGCGTCCCCAGCTGTTTTCATTGATGTACACTTTTAATGAATGCATCGTCAGTCTATGTATTATTTATGTCATTAGTAGCCTTACTTTTTCCAAGCATTACGAGTAACGCGTTTCCTTTTTTTTTGAAGCAGGTCTCACAGCACTAATTTTACCTCGCAAAAATTATGTTCTTCTATATATGGGAAGTAAGGGGGGGGGGGGGGGGGTAGTGAATGGGAAAAGTCCTTTCGGTCATCGGTCTCGTTCAATCTCAGTCCTTGAAAATTGATCTTAAAAACGGTCCGCCCTTCATGATGTGTCGATGTTGTCTTCAGACTAAAAAAAGATATTCAATAGGCCAATTTTATTATAACACACGCGTTTAGTTGAAAAATTGGCGTTAGAATCGTTTTCGGTCATACCTTCAACTAGTGATCTGATCTGCATCGGGTCTAACTTTTTAAACACGGTCCGGCCCAAAATTTTTTTAAAAAATTTTACCGGCACGGCCCGAACCCGAATTTATTTAAATATAGAAATTAATTTTTATAATTACTCAAAATAAACGATATATGTTATATGGTGTCTAGATTTATAAATAAAATCAAATATTTTTATTTTACATAAAAAAAATTCAACATTAAAATTGATAAATTTAGATATATTTAAAAAAATTTCAAGGGCCCGACCCGACCCGGCCCGATCTTTTTTAAAAATATTAGGCCCGACCCAGCCCGAACCCGACGGGCCGAGCCTATTTTTGAAGATCTCTACCCTCAACATGACTTCTATTTAACGATCCTTTTGTTTTTATAAATAATAAATTAAATTTAGAAATCGACTTCATATTTATCTAATTTTTTTGCTAAAAAAAATCTCGTATTTCAGGACGGGGTCATGTATATAGACAAACCTGCCAAATGAATGAATGAATAATATTGAATCTTTATATTTATTTATTATTTGTTTTTGTAAAAATAGGTATATCGGATTTTTGGCTTTCTCCGATTTAGTCGCCTGTCTCACTATGATACCGTGGCCCGTTGTGCACTTACTCGCGATTCATCATCGTTGGTCTTTCGGCATGACTTACGGCTGGAATTTTTTCCTCGTGAGATTTACCTTATTTTTGGTTAACACCTTCATGAAATTCAGCGCCCTACTGACATGCGCACTGAGTTTGGACCGGTACGTAGCCCTCCATTATCCGCATAGGTACGATCGAGTAAAATCTAAATAATAGCCTCCTTTTTTTTAATGATAGATAGGAGGGGGGTTGGGGTAGTCTCTTTTCTCATTTTCGTATTTGATTTTAATCAAAGATACTATCAATAGGATAGATTATGGCATAAGCCTCGAGATTTCGTTAATAGATGTCCAAACCTTTGTTCCGTCTACAAACAAAATCTTCAGGCTTGCGTAAAATTATTCTGGATGAAATATTGAGTTAGACGTTTTTAAAAATCTGCTCAAAACGAGCCATCTAACAAGACTAGATAGCACGTTATTCTTAAAAATAGGCATTCATAAATATTTTTATGTTATATATATAACTTATATTAGCAAAAAGGTATATTTTAAAGATGAAGGAATCTAATATCCTTTATTAATATGAGCAGGAATGCAAAATATTAACTTAAAATGTTATTTATTTATAAATATATTTACGAAGTTTTTTTCTTTTTGATGAAAGTTATATTATATTACGACATAATATTCTTAAGCCTTTCGTAAATTTTACTCATGATAATGAACGACACCTGTACGATGCTTCCAAAATAGAGTTTTCTGTGCTTTTCGTTTTTTCTTATAAATGATTATACAACGTAGTGTTAGTGTTAAATGGCTTAAATATATATATTTACCCAGAAAAATATTGCCTAAGCCTCAAGATTTCGTTAATAGATATCCAATAGTTTGCGCCATCTCTAAGCGAACGAGCTTGCAAAATATCTTTTCTGGATAAAATGTTTAGTTTTATCTTATACGAGCATACTGATAAGTGATCGCCAATAAGCCTATTCAAAAATGAATCTAATATGCTAGATTCGCTTTTCATCGAATTGAACAGTATCGAATGCGAACAAATATTCGACAAATAATTTATAAAATTCGTTTATTCGACAAATAGAGTTTCATTATAACCTTATTATTCGAATAATTTGATATTTAAATTATTCCGAATAATTAATGGTTTTTTTAAAATAACTGATAACCCTATCAATCTAATGGGTGATATGACTGTAATAAGTATAGTTTGGTAATGGCTAAATGTTGTCTAATTCTGCTTAATCTTCAAGCACCTTGCCGGAGAAAATTCGTAATGTTAAGGCGTTTTAATTTATATTTGTTTCTTCCAAATTTGAGCTGCTATCTTTTTAAGAAGAAAAAAAACCCCTAAGGTCAAAGTGATAGTTTTAGGATAAAAATATGGCTTAGCCAATTCTTTTTAGCCGGCTAAAAATTATATTAATAAGTTATACAATAGCTTGTGAAGGGCTATTTTTTTCAGTTTACATCCAATATGTTTATCATAAATCTCAGGTCTTATAAAGAGAAGAAAAAAAACAATAAAGAAAAATTCTTTGCCTTAATAATTGTTTTTGGAATGAAAAATGAATTAATAGGCACTATAATCTTTCTCTCGTGTTCTTTATCATTGGATTAATATAATATGATTTTATTTTCTGTTCAAAGTTTTTGTGGTCAATATATTTTCGTATCGAGGTCAATGACATATAATAATATCTAAACTGACGATGCATTCGTAATAACGCATTCATAAGCGTGTTGAATGCAAATCAGCTGGACCCGCCATTTTGGTAACCCATAAAGTAATTATTCTAAAATCTATTAAATTGATAACTTGCTTCCTTATTATCTCTAATGAAGTTTACGTCAGACATGGGAATAAATTGGCTACTCGTTTAAAATTTTTAATAATGATATGGGTAATCAAAATGGCGTCCCCAGCTGTTTTTCATTGATGTACACTTTTAATAAATGCATCGTCAGTCTAGGTATTATTACATGTCATAATTATAATATTTTGAATTATTCGAATATCTCGAATCAAGTACAAATAAATTTTGTTATTCGTACGAATATGCATATAAAATTGAGCCGATTTATAAGAACGGCTAACTTACTACTTCATCCAGAAAATTATTGCTCAATCCTGAAGATTTTGCTCATAGAAGGAACAAATATCTATACATATATTATCGAAATCTTGAGGCTTAGGCAATATTTTTCTGGCTAAAATATTGAGTTAGCCGTTTTAAAAATCGGCTCAAAACGAGCCGATTAGCAATACTATTTATATCTAAACGAGCAAATTAATCAAAATTAGATACGATTTCAAAGATATTCCCTTTCTTTTTCATCTAAGAAAAAGAATGTTATGAAACTTCTATAGACATTATTTGAGATTCCCGAAGTGGATTTATATGTATAAATAACCCTATATAGGATTAGGGTTTATTTAAAATTATATATTAAATATATATAAATTTAATATCATGATAAGGGTTTCCCTCTTAGGAGTTATTATTTTTAGAATATATACCAACAAAATAATAAATCATTTTAAAACATCATTATCCAACTTAGGTATGCGGCAATAACCAAACTCCAAGCGTCCTCCAGATTTTACACCAAGCTTATAGTAGGAATATGCTTTTTCCTGGCTTTCAGCTTGATGATTCCTAGGATCAAAAAATTTGATATATCCGGCACCAATTGTTCAAATTTTGACCCAGAATATTCGATGTACGATAAAGTTAACAAGCATAAATACGGGCAAAAATTGAAATCCCTGGTTCTCGAAGACAAAGTATTATGGTTCGGAAATCCACGTATGCCACGAGATAATCAATATTTTGACTACCCTTCTAAAAGATCTATCATAGATTCCGGTAAAACGAATATTTTCCTGGCTAACGAGGGCGGTTTCCGTGAACCCGTAGACGGGCACCCGATTAAAAGACGGGTCGGCCAGCTGGTAAAGCCTACTTGTTATAATTTTATCGTTAACAAAGAATACCATTCATCGAGGATTTACGTGATTTACAAATGGTGGCGCGAAATATTTTTAACTTGGATCCCTCTTATCCTGTTATTCTTCCTTAATTCGTGCATCATTCACAAGTACAAAAAAGACATTATGAGAAAAAAGTATTCCATGATAATAACGTCACAGGGTACGGGAGGCCCGACTACCACGGATCTTAATGTTTCTGAGCAATTTGGCGAAAGTAGATTGAATCGAAGAGCCAGCAAACTGAGGAGAAAAACATTGGCCTTTTTGACCCCCCGAACTATAAATAAAGACGAAATTTTGTCGGATGCTAATAATAAGCTAAAAATTTCTCCGTCTGATAGTAACTTTAATAGAAGACGTAAACATAAAAGTAATAGTATCGTTATGTATCCTACATCGATTAGGAGGGTAAACGGGTTGGCGCGAGCGACTACACCTCCTATAATAGCCAAGAAGGATAAGAACACCGATAAACTTAACACATTTAATTTCGACGAAAGATCGTCACCAACGAGTAGCAATAAACAACACACTTCTATTACCGATTTATGCGATTATAGTGAGGATAACAAAATCCTAAAACAAAATACTAGGAAAGGATCCTTCCAGGAGCCAACCAATAAAGAGTCCATAACTCAAGATACTGGTAACTCTACTATGGGCGCCCGAAGATTAAACCCTATCTTTGAAACTAATACAAATGACATCAAAATCATAGTGCCCGATACAAGACCTAGAAAAAATGTTCCAAAAGAAGATGCCGACGAATCTTTAAACTATGCTGCCGTTCCTTTATTATCGATTAATAATGCCAAAGCAAATCTAACCAGTAACAATAGCCCTCCAAAAAACTTGCAATTCAATCATGAATCTATTAGCCTAACTAATACGTATGATAACATCAACAAGAGAAGAAGTAACTCGTTTAGAAAATTTATCAATCCCCTCATCAAATACAGGCCATCCTTATCGCTTAGCATTAAAAGCCAATATATAAGAGATGGTAGTTTGACGATGTCAGAGGATCTCGTCGAAAAACATAAAAGATACGCCAGGGACGAATGTAATCTCACCTTGATGCTTATTATAACTGTGCTACAGCACTTGATATGCACGGGCCCGCAGGCAATCATAACTATATTCGATACCGCCGAAAATAGAAAAATGTCATACCCCTTAGAAATTATTTTTCTCGTCACGAATTGCTTAGAGGCCCTAAATTATGTTCTAAACTTCTACATATATTGTTACTTCGTTAAAGATTTTAAGGCCTCCTTTTTGAACATGTTTTCTAACCGCAAGAAAAAGCGTCGAAAAAGTTGCCAAATACAATTGCCTCGGTAAATATAAAAATGTCGAATATAAATCATGTTTACAGTATTTATAACTTTTTCCCCCTATCCTGTCAGATTAGGTTACCAAAAAAAATTAATCTCTCTCCAATTAAGGAATATTCAATTTGTATAATTATTATTTTGTTAAAAAAAATTTAATATTAAATTTTAGCTTTTATAAATGTTATAATTTAAAAATTTCGTTAATGTTACAATTTGATCGTTCAATTTCAACATCATTCAAACAAGGGTAAAAAAATTTGATTTGTCTCATAAATATTTGTTTTTAATAACTAGCTTAGCTACTAAAAGTATCAGACACAGAGATATAAAACATTTGCTAAGAGTAAGCCTAAAAGTTGTATTAAATTACAGCTGTTTCGAGAATAGTTCATTTTGCTTAGTTCTAAAGCTGCTAACTAGTATTAGGTTTCTAATAAAGTATGCCCTCGGCTGGTTATCAGAAAATGAAATTGGCTTTATTTATTAAAAATTTATGTAATTCTTAAAGTCAATAGATATATATAACCAGGATACTTTATTTAAAGTCCAAGCCGATTTGGTCTATATAATATTTTTTTATATTTTTACGTCTAATTTTCTAATTCTCCAAAGGATTTATGAATAGCAGCTTTCGATTTTAGAGTTATATATAGTTGTTCTAGTTAACAGGGTACTTTAGTAAATTATAATATTTCTTTTGATTCCCTATCACGTGAGTTTTGAAAATTGAAAGATTGTCAAATCTCAATTCTATATAACATAGTAATGACACACACGCCAGCAAAAAAATTGATTCTCTCTTTTTGTAAATAACATTTATTAATAGATATATTTTATATATTTAAATTTTCTAAAACTAAGAGAGAAAAATAAAATGCAAACGTGTCCTACAAAAAAAAATCAAAATGTACATCATATTTGTTTGCCCTTTATCGAAGAGAAATATATCTAAATTATGTCAAAAGAAAAATATAATAAATATATATTTACTATTTAAAAAAACAATTATGTTATATTTATTATTGTATTATGTGATGAAAAAAAAACAAAGTCTTAGGGTGGAATATGAATCTAATGTTATATTTTTTTTAAATAAAATACAGAAAAAAAAAGATAATTATATATTTTATCGTGGTTTTTTGAATCTTTATTATAAAATGAACCATACATTATTGAGTTAATATAAAGGTAAATTAACCTAAAACTTTTACGTCCAATTAATGCCTTTAATTTGTGCCTTGTTCTTTAAATCGAATCCCAGAAGATTTAATGGCATTTGATTCGGATCACAAACAGGCATAAAATAGGGATCAAGATATTGACATTGATTTTCATATCTGTCTCTCAAATCTATAAGGGGAATTTGATGTTTCTTATTTAACTATTTAAAACACCGTTTCGATGGATTACACTCTCATCCCATCTGAATAATTAAAAAAATTTTAACGTAAATTTTAGAATTGGTTCAATATCTTAGATCTTGGCAAAGGATGTCGCAATTTTATTATTTCAAAATAATAAATTTTTAATAGACGATTATTCTGGCACCTATGTAAGTAGTTCCAAGCAAAAATAGAGGCACTCTAAAAAGATAATTTGGCATATTTCCTAATTGATTGCACAAGTCAATATAAGGTTTGAGATTTTAATAAATTTAAGATATATATATATATATAAAGATTTTGGGCAGCAGATTATTGGTTATTTTTTTTGCGCGGTACCACAGATTAGCTGATAGTAATTATTTGGTTTGTCCATCAACAAAGCCAAGAGGGAAGGTGAGGACGTCATCCTCTTAGAAATTTGAAAGTTATCATAAATATCAATGTTATTAAAAATAAACCTATACACAATCCCATCCCCTCCCACACTTTCCAAAAAATATATAATATGTGATCCTTAGAAAACTCTTAAATAAAATGAATATTTATAAAAAACGCCATTTTTACTATGTAAAAAAAAAAGAAAATTTATTCATAAAGTTTAGAACGAACGTAAAAGCTTTCGATTTTTATAGAAATGTTGACAGCACTAGTTATTTCCGAGAAACTATCCTCAGTTTTAATAATTTATATGTATACTAAAATTATAATAATTTAAAGTTCAATTGAATTTGCACACTTTGAATAATCTTAGGCCAACAAAAAGACCAATCTTACTAATTTTAGTCATATACATAGGTTAAAAATTGAATGGAAAGAGCACTTGGTTAACTATTTTCAAAGTTTTTAACATTACAATATTTTGACCGTTTTAAGCTTTTAAACATGAACTAAGTTATCCGTGGATGGTCTCTAGAAAATTTTTAAGTTGTTAATACTGCCAATAAATAAGTATATGATAAAGTATAATAATTTATTGGTCTATCTAGCTAGTGTTTGCAACGGTCCGGTCCGACCGGTCGGACCGACGGTCCGGTCCGGTCGGACCGAAGACCGATTAAAGAATATAAAAGTTTACTATAAATTGCTTTATAGTTAATGTGTATGTACATGAACATATAAAATATGATTATTTAATGCCTAACACTATATAATATCTAATTCATCGTTTACTTTTTATATTCTTCCGTTTCATTAAATTCAATATTCATAGTTTACTTTTTATATTCTTCTTTGATTAGGCATTTGTGTATAATATAATAAAAATGAATTGATGATATAATTGAAATATTAATAGGGTAATTTAACTATTCATTTTTAATAAATTTAAATGCAGAATAAAACTTTTGTAGCTTTATAAAAAAAATTTTTTTAGGTGGGACCGGACCGCCTGGACCGGACCGGACCGACGGTCCCACGGTCCGGTCTCATTTGACTTAACGGTCCATCGGTCCGGTCCCATTTTAGAAAAAAAAGACCGGACCGGACCGGACCGTTGCAAACACTATATCTAGCCCTAATATGATTCTTAAAGGTTTAAATGGGAGGTAATTTTAACAAGAATATTATATATCTATTTAATTCTCGGGGTTATCTATACCTCAAATATTTCAAAGGTATAAATATTATATCAATGTTTTCAAACATATTTGCTAAAAAATTTTGCCAAAAATTCAAATGCTCATTTGAAAATTTTTTTAAACCCTGCTCTCAACTGATTATAAAAATTTCGTACATACTAACCTTTACCCACAACTAGGCCCCTTATAAGATCCTAATAGAAATAAGGAATTATTGACATAATAATAGAAAATTTGAAGCAAATGCAGGCTACAATCATTATTTTCTATTATAGTTGTTGTTTTTTGACTTATATAAATCACTTTATTATAAGAACCATTTTACTTAATGGTGAATTGATTAAATTTACAAAAAAGAAAATTAAAATTTGCAATGAATATAAGATAGTAAAAATTTGTAAAAAAAAAAGTAAGTCTTATATTAGATATCTTTGATGATCTCGGCTATTTCTTGTGTTGTTAATTTGTGATACAATTTATCTGGAGTCACTGTAGCGACCTGTATAAAATTTTGCAAATAAAGAAAAGTTTTTACTGATATGAATATATTTAAAAAAAATATAGACCAAATATTGTAGATATTCCTACCTCGACATTGGTATCGGTGGGTTTTTCTTCCATAACTTGTTTTAATATGACCAATGCTTCCCGAATAGCTTGTTTAAGTGTCATTCCCTATTAAAAAAGTAAAGTATATTTAGTTAGTTGTGCTTAAAATACTTAAATAACAATCGTCACAAAAAATATTAAACTTAATTAACAAAACGATACAATTTTAAATAATCAATATTAATAACATTTAAAGATGTACTAGTCCCATATTTACCATTATCAATTTAAATGTATCTCCTCAAAAAGATCCTTTTAATCATTTGAATTTTATATTTATTTTAATCAAAAAGTATAAATTAATCAAATTTTTAGTTAAATAAATTTAAAAAAAACACGGTATTAGTTGATATAAGCCATAGAACACTTTTTAAATCTGATTTCATTATAATAAAAAAGTATATATGATTACATTATTACAAAAATATTAGATAAGAAGAACAATAAATATGACAACCAATAATAATATACAATATTAAATCCAAATTTAAATGAGAAGGAAATAAACAATTGATTGAGTATTAAAATAATTAAATATTTTATTTTAAAAAAAAATGGGAAGGAGAATTCTAATCATTTGAGAAAATAAACATGCCTTAAGGATCGTTATTGCTATACTTTGTCTTAAATAAGGGTTAATGTGGCTCTCCAAATTTTTTCTGATAAACGTCTTTGAAGACATTATTTGCCAAATCACCATACATTCTTAGGGCAGAGCTGATTATTGATATAAAAATGTAACCTTATGGGAATATTGAATATTTTTCTGATCTTTAATTGCAAACTTGTTAATATAATGAATGGGGAATTAGATGATATCGCATGTTAAAAATTAAAAGAAATGTATTAAGTTCTTCTAATGTAGTTGGAAAGCCAGTTGACCTCAGTATGATTGATATTATTTGATTGTAATTGAAGTGTCAAGAATGGATGATACCAAACTGTGATCATGAGTTCAGCAGTTGTTGCAACTATAAGGTAACAAAAAAGGAGATTGTGCCTGTTACATATAGCATACCTGATCCTTATTAAGTTCATTCAATGTAGATCTAACCAAAGATAGAAAACTTGAAATAAGATATCAACAATCTTTTAAAGATTTATTAACCCTGTATTGCATGTACTATGTTAGAATAATTTTTTTTTGGCAAACTAGATTTTTTATTTCTCTCGATACTATTGATAATCTCATGGCTCACTTTTTTTAAAAAAATTCTAAATTTCTTAGAAGATGAACGGTATGTGGATTAAAATACACATGATGCAATTAAGGATACCAATTTCAATTTTTTCACAATAATTTTTATTATACTCTAAACTATAAATATATATATAATTTTATATAAATACAACAAATATTAAATGTTTGAACATTTTAATTTTCATGAAAATCTATAAAACAATTATTTGTGGGCGTAAAACATAAATATACACTACATTTTTTGCAAGATACTTTTGTAATAAATATGCAACCTGGAATTTTACATCTACCCTTTTTATCATTATATTTGGGCCAGTGAGCTGTGAGGTCTTTCCTAACCTCTTCATTTGGTAAAGATTGGGCTGGTCCTTTTTTACATTTTTCCCGATAACCAGTTTGAACTGATTTTCGTTTTGGAATATTGTTTGAAGTGCATTTGCCATATTTGCAAAGGACTTCCGCCACCGAAATTTTGAAATTGTACAAACTTAATAGATCCTTGCCTGCTATTGATATACTATTATAATCGTTTGTATAGCAACCAAGAATTTATAAGTAACATGTCGAATACATGAAATAAAATTCGATGGTACCATTTTCTTGATTTGGTATGAATTCTATATAATGAAAGTAAAGAATCCATAAGATCTACACCTCCCATTGATTTATTATAAACTTTAACAATGTTTGGACATTTTATCATTATTTTATCCTTTTTTTTCTATCATATCTTTCGCAATCGATAAGAGGATGTGCACCTACAAAAGTGCTCAATAAGGTCACAGCACGATTGTCGTGCCACTTCACTGAATTTAACTCAACCCCGTTTATTATTGTTTTTTTTGAAACAAAAAATCCTCGCCCTTTTTTTTCAACTCCTTATCTGTTGGGAAGTTGATATTTGGTAGTCGATTACCTCTGACCGTGGCCGCGCAAAATATCCCTCTTTGAGCGAGTACGACTTGCAAATTTGGTGAACAAAACCAGTTATCAAAAAATAATTTATAATTAATTTGCTGCGGTATATAAGAAATTAAACGTAGCACAGCATTGCCACTTGCTCCAACAACAGGCAATCCTTCCGCTGGTAGTATTTTCCCAGAGTATACTTCAAAATTATGGAGAAGGCCATCATCTCCGCATAGTAGGAAGACTTTATAGCCCCATTTTTTGGGCTTTTGGGGGTTATATTGCTTTAATCTGCTCATCCCTTTGTATGGAATTATTTGCTCATCTACGAAAATATTTTCCCCTATCGATAAAGATTTTAGTATATTATTGGTTATAGTTATCAAGGGTCTAATTTTATGAAGTGGGTCATGGCCCTCACTTCCAAGTGGAATAAATTTGTCATTATCATTTATATGAATGAATGATTTGATTTGTTCCCAGCGATTTAGGGTCATGACATCAGCCACCTTGGCCTGTCTTGTATTGGTGGCCCAGTAGAGACGTGCTCTGGGAAGTAAAATAATTGACATGTAAAAAATAATTCCTATAAATTTTTCTAATTCATCTATCGATAAATTCAAAGGTTTGTTGGAATTGCATTGAATTGCATATTTGATTCGTAAACAATTAGAGGTAATAAATCAGTGAGATATGTATTATAATAATCCATTGGTTTTTTTACTTTATCAACCGTTGGGTTTTCTCCTTTCCACTTTGGAATAACTAACGGTAAATTAGTTAAGCAATTTTTCCAAATCATTTTTCTCACGATTCCTTTTTCATTATTTATATTTTCATCCTCTTCCGATTCATCACTCTCATTGAAATCTAGATATTTTTAGATTATATAAGAGCATACATTTTAAATATACCTAAATCATTATTTTGGGTTGACAGAAACTCCTCATCAGACGATTCACTTAAATTTGAATCTTCACTATCATTAGGTATGGTACCACAATTCATAATTCTAAAAATATAAAACTCAAATAAAATACCTTATTTGCATAATGTGTCTTTAAAGCAACGTATGATTATTACAAAATATAATTATCAAAAATAATAAATATATATAAAATAATTTCATAAACATTAATTTTTACCTTTTATTTATCTAATTTTAATGTTTTGAATTTTGTCAAATATATTATTTATCCTTTTACGATGTGTAGAAAATTGAGAAGAAAAATTTTATAAAAAAATAGCCATTTTTAAAAATAGGGTTTATTAAAATGCGAAATTAAAAATTAATAATTGATCACGTGGCCCAAATTAAAATTCCAATTGAAGATATAGAATATGGCTTCAAATACACACCATGCAATTGATTTAAAATTTATTTATAAAATATTTATTATATAATTTGTGGTATGTGGCTTGAGATACACAGTATGCAATACAGGGTTAAAATATTTTCTAAAGCAGTATAAGATTTTATATTTTTAAGCTTTAGCCTGGTGCAAATATATTTGCAATTTTTTATGCCTAAGTTTCTATATAGCTTTAGCTGGTATATGGGGTAGCTACCCTCACTATGAAAATCCTGGCTACTCTTATGATGATAAGATGGTTTGACAATATATTGGGAAAAGAATAGAAGAGCTGGTGGAGTGGTAAAAGGAAAGAGGATAAGCAGTTAATATTAAAGCTGTTATGAAGTTTCTGATTATTTTAAAATATATTTTAAAAATCTTGTCACATATTAAATTGCTCATTAAATACAAAAAAAGATGCGTTTAAATTGTTTTGCATAATTCAAAAATAAAAATGTGTTAGGAAGCACTTGATTTATTATCGTGCAAAATATTTTCTCTGATATATTTTAAATCCATAGATAGTAACTTAATTTTCTTACATAATCATATACTTCCTGAAGTGATTGTTGAGCACCTTCAGAACCAGATCCAATAGCTTTCGCACCACAATCTGTGTATGTGCCAGAAGGATCCATGTGATATCTTTAGAAAAAAATATAATAAATATACATCACTAAAGTAATAAAGATATTTCAATCTGTATTGACTAATGATTTAAATATTATTAAGATTAACAGAATGTAATAATTTATTAAGAGCAGAATTTTTTTTTACTGATATTTAAAAAATTAATAATTATCTAATTATAGCCACAAATATTACCTAAAATTTAATATAATTTATATAAATTAACTTACAAAATAGGTCCAGTTTTATCTAGACCAGCAAATAACAATGCTACACCAAATGGGCGACTCTTTGAAAATATGAGATTTTATATACATTTATTTAAAATTACCATAAAACTTCCTTCTGCATCATCATCTCCAAATTGTATTGCTAAGGAAGAAACTGATTGAGTAAGACTTTCAGTAGATATTTTCTCATTGTATACAAACCAATGATTCTAACATTGTTTTATAGCGTTAAAAATAAATAAAGACATTAAACTTGAGATTCCACTCTAGCTTTATCAATTAAAGTTCTCGAATCAGACATAAGTCCACTAACAGCCAAGCCTTTAATAATAAATAACTTTCATTATGTAAATATTAAATTATACCTATATGTTTATCAACTTGGACAATTTTTTCTATACTATCAGGTTCAATAAGACTAGATGTTATTCTTTTTTCAACGGCTAAAACAACTCCTTCATTAGTTTTTATACCTAACGCTGTGGATCCTAACTAAGATATTAATTGGTTTATTATAATTATTTAAAATATATACCTTGATAGCTTCAATGGCATATTCTATTTGTAATAAGCGTCCTTCGGGGGAGAAAGTATTAACACCTCTATCGTATTCAGATCTTGTTAGAAACATGATTTTTTAGAATCTATTAAGTCCTCATAAAATCATAAGACTGCTTGTTGATTATCTGTCAATATGAAGATTAGATGATATGTAATATAATAACAAAAATAAAATTTCTATATAATTATGATATCCTATTTATGTATAAATTTTAGACATGATAAAAAATTATTCCTTTATCCATCTACTACATAATTAGAAATAGGTAGAAAATAAAAAAAATTAATTAATATGATAAAATACTCTAACTTGCTGATAAAGTATTAATATATGTTAATAAAATATTTTTGACATTTGTTTTAAATATACGGAATATTTAAGCTATATATTTTTACGAATGAGAACTAATTTAATGCTGTCAATTATTTTTTAAATATAAAAATTATCATGTGTATATTGTATGAAAAATGTTCTTTATATATAAATATATATCTGTCTTCTCATCGTCTTTTAAAATCTTAATACTTTTGAACTTTGGATTTAGAATTAAACAAACCTTATGTAACGACTGAATAATGAATTTTTCCTATAAAAGAGATATTGTCCTGTTTCTTTAGGTTTTGATTGTCACTGTATAACCTTCTCCTTCTGTGACAAAATTTTATTAATGTTTGTTTCCATAAATAAAATTCATTTATAGTAGGATGAGAATCTGCAAACGGGTTTTATGAAATTCTTTGTATAATGATGGAAATTCATCTTTTTTACTTACTTAAAACCAGGGTTGTGAATTTTACCGGTCAAATACGATTCGGCTAATTCACGATGACCGCTCAAATTTATAAATGTTTTTTTTACACCAATATTAACTTTATTTCATATTAATGAACCATTAACCCAAATGAATACCTTTTTAAAAAATATTAATCGAATATTCTAAGTAAAAAACTTCTCCATATAAACATTTACTCAACCATAATCAACTATAAATAATAAAGGAGATGCAAGATCTAAAATTAATGACCCTACATTTTAAAATATCAAGATAATCATAAATATATCGTTAATATATCATCCTTAACAAGAAAAGTGAATATCAAGAGATATATATTCAAAAAATAGCGAAAAAAGATGAGGACCTCTTCTGAGAGAAGAAAATTCAATTTACAATCTCTAATGAGATTTAAAAGATTATATTTAAAGAGTTCTTGGTAATATATTAGAATGGCATGCGATATTTCATTTGGAGATATATTGGATTCAAAATGACAGATGATTTTATTTTTGCTTTGGAATTAATAAATAAATTATTTTATTACTCAACAAGAATTTTACAAGATTTGTGTGATCGTTTATGATCGAAATTCGTAAGCTTATTTATCTAGACAAGCAAATCATTCAATTATTAACGTCAACTTAATAGTATTACTAGAAATTAACCGGATTTTCCATTTTTGGAAATATTTTTGACTCAATTTAACAAACCATTTAAGATTTTTGAAATGGCTCTATTTAATTTTACATATACTGTTTTCAAGAAATCCCATTGTGGATGTTAAATCCTGATTTTAAAAAAATATGTGTTTAACTCAATTTTATTATGAAGTATTAATGTAACCGATAACTAATATATTTAAGATATTAAAAATAAGTATGAAAGATTAATTTTCCTATAAAATCCTTAACCAATAATAGCATTGTATACTTTATAATATATTTTTCAGTTTCTTACAAGTATATTAAAATTACCGGTGTTGGCAAATCGATCAATTGACAGGTCAAATTCGAATTGAGAGAAGGAGTATATATAATGAACTAATATGTATTAAAAGCATATTTACCAATCTAATTTATTTACAAGTTATTTTAAAATATATTTGTATCATCTAGGCATCAATTATAATTTTATATAAAAAAATATAAAAATATTTAAATATTAGAATATTAGAATTTCAATTTGAAATTTAAAAAATGAATTTTCTCATTATTAATTTGATTGGATCTAAATATATAAATAAATGTAATAATTTTACTTAAGCATGGTTTGAGAAAATTTATAATTACCAATTTATATTACATTATGTACAATTATCCAAACAAGATTGGCATCGTCAATAAAATGGCAGTGAGTAAATATAAATATGCAAGAAATCTCTGAAAGCAGCTGTTAAAGAAGTTGCATATTAATCCGAAAAAAAAAATATTAGTAAATTAAGATATATTTTGGACAAAAAATTTAAAATTTTAAACTATTCATAAACAAATAGCTATCTTATTGATATGGCTCACGATAAAAACGAGATACTTAATTTAAAAAACACATAATACAATCATGCCCATGATTTTATAATTTACCAACCTAAAGAAAAAATATTAAAGATAAGTTTGAAAGAGAAAACAATTCAAATACATGTGCTCACACTGCACTTCTGATTATTTATTAGATTCCTCAATTTAAGAGAAGCATCTTACTTGAGTTTAATGAATCATATGACATAATACAAATATTAGTCGTTTCATAAAGAGATGATCATCAAAATATTTTAAGTGATATCATAAATTTCAAAAGTAAAAGCGGCGTATTTAATAGACTAAATATGTGTAAACCAATAACTTTCATAAAACAGATTTCGAGCTTGTTGGAATGGTCTTTGTTCTCCTTGAATATTAAGAGAAGTGTATAAGATCCGATTGAAGATCTAGACAACCAGAAAATTGGTAGGAGTATATTATAGACTGATTAAAAAAATGTTAAATAAAATGATAAGATTGAATATAAATTAGAACAAGGCTCTGCCATGGAGAACGAAACATAAATTATAGAATTTAGAAAATAATTTAATATACACATACATTTTTTACTATTATATATAAAATAGAATTAATATTGTCTTAAGACCATATTTGACCTGTTAAACATAACCCTGATTTATATTATTATTCTATAAAAGATTGAAATATAACTTGGATTTTAATCCTTTTGTTTTATATTTCTTCTTTTTCTTCATTCTTTTTTTGTATATATTTTAGAACATTTTGTAAATATTTTTTTATAAAAAGTATCTCCATTTAAATTTTAAGAAGCAATAGCTCCGTTGCTTTCCCCTCCACCATTGTAGAGAAACCACTGTCTGAAACGACCACTTAGATAATTAGAAGGGCTCATATTTACGGCGTTATCCATTGAAAAAACTCCATTTTTGTTTTCTATCGCTATACTTAAGTGTTAAACATTCTCCCAAAAAATATACCTATTATTAAAAAATTGTAGAGCCCACTTTGCTTGCATTATCTTATTGGAAAATCTTTTTTTTGTTCTCTATAGCTATAAATACATGTAAAACATTAGCCTAGTTTGACCATTTGCCGACTCATAACAGATCGCCTCCAGTTGAACCCCCATTTCTGTTAGAAGATTTAAGGCAAAAAATATTATATCATAATAAAATTAAATGAGGGTAGGAATTTTTTGACATCATTTTCCCATTAAGTATTTCAAAAAAAAAGTTAAAAACAAGATAGAAATTATAGAAATATAAATTAAATATAATTTAGTACTTGTGTGCTATGTGAATACAAGAGCTCAATAAACAAATTATATTGGATATTACAAATTAAAATGAGAAAAGGGTATTTATAAAAGTTGATTATATGATGGATTATTTAATGGTTAGAATGAAGTTGTGTATCTGATATATAAATTTATTGATGTTAAAATAAAATTATAAATTCTATTTATGAAAAAGAATATACATATAGGTTCTAAATGTTTTTAAATTTAAATTTTTTTTATTGATGCTGATCGTACTTTTAGTTCTATTTTTTAGACAATATTTTAAAAAAATTTTAGGTTTCAAAAGAATCAGTTCCCCGCATGACATAACCTTTTCTACTGCCTTATATTAACTTTCCTACCCCATTTCTTAAAATCTTTCTCATTTTATAAAATTTTAATCTGATCAAAGCGGCTACTTCTCAGCCCAATAGTATTCTCCTTTTCCAATCAGAGTTCATTCAAGATACTTATTTTTAGTTTATCTTATTTAATATCAATTAAATTAAATAGCGTGATTGTCAATATATACACAAAAAACATGATTCGTGAACTCTAAATTGTTGTTATATTTTAATAGGAAGATATATAAATAATTGTACAATACTTATTCTATTCTTTTTGTTTAAAATATTATTTGTCAAACCTCAAAGAGTGATTATAGTTTATAAATATCTAAAAAGATTATTAAGCAACGCTAAATGACAAAACTATGCAAATTTTCTCATATAAAAAGCATAAAAACGACGTAAAAGGCATGAAAAATGATGTAACAATCGAAGTAGGTTTATAAATGTTAAAAATAAGCATCATTATTTATTTTTGTTAAAGATTTATTTAAAATTTTAATACTAATGAATTATTTTGTCAATTTATTTAATTTTACAACTAGCAATTATAGAGGACATCCGAACATGGATAAAGATAATTGTGGTACTTAATCATAAATTAAATTCAAATATATATTTAAGATATTAGTGATTAGTTTATCATTTTTTTGAGATTGTGGATTATACCGACTAATAAAATTCGCGTTTAATATTAGTTTAAATCATTTATTAAGTAAAAAAGATGTGAATATATTGGAATAAAAAGGTATAAATTCCCGATTTCATGGTTGTATAAGAAAAAATATGAAATAATATTTTTAAATCTTTTAAATGAACGAGGTAAGCTTAGGGACTCTTCATTCGGGCAAGAAATAGTTATACTAAAAAGATATACATCTCTATATATATATAAATAAAGTATTGTTAATTCAATTCATATAACAAATTCTAAAAGAGCCGAACAGAAAGGGTGTCAATGACACATACAATCCAACTTCAAATACAAATTTGAAGGTAATATATTTGTTTTTTTTGTACTATATTTATAATGTACATACATATGTAAATATAAATATTTAAAAATAACCTAATTTTGAAAAATGGATGGTAAGGAAGTGTGATCATATTTTTATTTTGACTTAACTTTGGTCTTCCTTGTAATTAATATACAATTTTATGTTATAAATTTTATTAAATCAACCTTTGCCATTGGTAAAATACCAACTTTTTGAAAATCATCTATACCCAATATATCCACACACCTATTACATTCAGATGGATCAACAAATATCAAACGTAATGTACTATTATTTTAAATCG